CCCCCTGTCACATCCCTGTTGCTAAACCACGCGAGATTTGTACGGAATGTTTTGAAAGACTCGTGAGCAAAATTTTACATGGTGATAAAATGGCGTATTTCTTATATTTTGTTTAGATTTTTAGTTTCCTCCTGTTATAAAGGGTTAAATTTATTATTAGTGGAATGGAAATGGCTTGGATGGAAGAGTAACAAGGCTGAATTGTTAACAAGCGACATGGGATGACAAAATGGCGCCGAATTTGGACAAAGTTGTGGATTTACCTTGTCGATTGTTAAACAGGTATGATCTGCTTGAAACCAAGTTGAAACTTGTTTAAAATGTTCTTGATACCATTATGTCTGAGATGATTTACATTTTTTGTAGGATGTCAACGAGATCGCCGATAAACAGCGGAGTAAAGTGGAGAACTTGGCCAAATACGTCCATTTGCAGGAGGTAGGCACATTTCAAATTATTATTTCGGTCAGAAAATATTAACTATTTTACACCAAACCAGTGATAATATATTTAAATAAGTACCATTATGTTTCTATCAAAAAGATTTAGGGAAAAAGGTAATGTAAGTCCACTGCTGTTTATCTGAATTTGCAAGCCACAAATTGACGTTTAACTATGATTATTGCATGGCCATTTTCTTGTGAAATATTAGTGCTTGGCATTTCACACTTACCAATGACCACCCCCAAAAGTACCATCTCTGAACCATATAAGCACCTCAGAATAGCCAAAGCTTTTATGGTTTGGTAGATAGCAGTATGGCGAAAGCGTCGTTTTGGGTGTGGTCAGTTTCGGACGTTTCGCCCCGGATTGGGGTTCGGGCAGCGTTACCATGTTGACCGTCATGGTCAACTTACCCTAAAACAGTTGAGATTATCTGTCCTAAATGAAATGCATACAAACTCATATACAGGTCCTAGACTAAGTTGAGGAGAAAAGCAAGATGCGCAATGAGAGAAGGAAGAGAAAGCGGTCTCACAAATCGGAATTGAAGCGCGCGGCACTCATAAAGGATGCACTTCGTGAGGTTCAAAGAAAAACGGACGAGCAAAGGAGCATAGCTTCAAAATATTATAAACTTTGGAGGAGAAGTGTAGAAACTAACAAAAAATTACAAAATAAGTTGGACAACAGAGAAAGCAGTATAAAAAAGGTATACAAATATTAATAGGTACATGAATATTACAATGCCACTTATTTTTAAAATAATTCTTGGCTACCAGTACTGTACCTACAGTATATAAAATACAGATATATACAGGCAAAGGGACCGGCCATTATTTTTGAAGGGGGGCTGGGGTGGGGGTCAAAGAAAAATGTTGTAATAGGAAGGGGGGTCACCCTTGAATTTCTGCTTTTTTAGGGGGGGGCTTTCAATTTTTAAAATTTAGGGAAGAAAATATTCGCCTTCCATAAATAATGACCAGTCCCTAATACATTAATTGTCAGTATACATTTTC